CCACCCTCACCCTTAAAAACCCCAAAAAATTCACTTTTCGTCACCATTTATCCAATTTTATTAATTCCAGTGGCACTAATACAGGCGGCGATGGGCACGACGGACAGTCAGGCTGCAGATAAGGCATCCTCACCCCCTCTCTCTTTCCCCCCATTTTCCTTGTCCTCTTTAAGCACGCCCCACTCCCTTCCAGGCCATTCTGCAGCAGTATTTTTTTTTTTTTTGAGTCAAATAAATACAGAATTGGGCAGATCTAGTGGAAATGTTTTAGTTACAATGGCAAAGATGAGTCATGTGCAACACAGAAACCTATAAGGCTTTTTTTTTTCTTTTTGTTTGTTTTCCTCATTTGAAGTTCTCAAAATCGCTATGAAACCCATTTAATTAACAAGATGGTGGTCACAGGCGTCTAGCCCCTGGCGGCATGGGTGATAACGCTAATTAATTAAATTTTTCCTGCTCTCCCAGAGTTCCATGAGTGTCATTAGAGTTTGTCCAGGAAGTTGTCGAGGGCAGGGATTCCTTCCTTGAGCCCTTTGCGCTTGCGGGTCTCGGCCACCACCTGGGCTGGTCTGGTGGCGCTGTCGAAGGGGTCCCCGGGCAGGATCTGCCAGTGGTCAAAGACACACTGGGGGAAGGCCTGGCCACCCGTGTTGGACCTCAGATCTGCTGTGAAACCTGCGAGGGACAAGAGAAAAGGTGAGCTGGGACAGGAGTGGTTGTAGTTCAATGTTGCGTTTCCTCCTGCCCATGGAGGAACCCAGAGCAGCTCTCAAAAGCCTCCTGAGATCCCAACCAATGGGAGGTGGGAATGGAAAAAAGGCTCCAGGAAGAATTTAGAGACCATTCCAATGCCTAAAACTGGAGAGGGACTTTGGACAAACATATGGAAGGACAGGACATGGGGAATGGATTCCCACTGCCAGTGGGCAGGGATAGATGGGATGCTGGGAAGGGTTGGGATGGAATTCCCAGAGCAGCTGTGGCTGCCCTTGGATCCCTGGAAATGTCCAAGGCCAGGGACAGTGGAAGNCGGGGAGCAGCCCCAGCCCCGGGGCTGAGCAGGGTTAGCGGATGCTGCCGTCGCCCTCGCTGCTCTGCAGCTTCTCCCTCTCGATGGACCACACCAGCTCCTGCACAAACTTCATCTCCGACGCCACCTGCTTGGCCAGGGCCTCGTAGTGGTTCTCCAGCTTGCGGTAGCGCCGCTTGAGCCCGTTGGCCGCCTGCACCACGCTCCTGGTCTCCTCCTGCGCCTGCTTCTTCAGCGCCTCCGTCTTGTGCAGCTCCTGCCGGATCTGCCGCAGGTCCTGGCTGATGCTCTCGTTCTCCTCTTTGTACCACGACTCCTTCTCCTCGTAGATGGACAGCAGCGCCTCGATGTCCTCCTGGAAGGACTTCTTGTTCCTGCCCAGCTCTCGGAGGCTCTCCTCGGCCGCAGCCACCTCCTCCATGACCTTGGAGAAGCGCTCGAAGTTGATGTAGGTGTTGTTGGGGGGCATGCTGGAGTGGGATTTGATGGTGTACTCCTTGAGGCGCGTGGTCTTCAGCCGGCGCCGCTCGGGCTTCTTGCCGCTGTCCTCGTTGCGCACGTTCCTCCTCTTGATCACCTGTGGCGGGGACAGCGGTGGCTGCAGCAGCGCCACAGGCAGTGACACCAAACCGGCCCCCACAGGGCTGGGGGAGCAGCACAGCCCCGGCCTCGGGGGGCTCAGGCACCAAAAATGCCGATTCTTTGACTTCTCACCTTAATCCAAGGGTGCTCCAGGCTCTGGGCGATGGTCATTCGCTTCCTGCAAGCACAGCAAGGCTGCGATCAGGGATCTCCTCTCTCCCTGTTACAGCCCTGCAAAAGCAGCTCAGATCCTGTGATTGCCTTTGGGGTCTGAGCCTGGACAAAGTCAGTGCACTCAGAGCACCCCAGGCAGGAGCTGCATCCAGCCCCCAACCCCTCAAACTGCCTCCCAAGAGAAAACAGGCAGAGGATGATGTGGGAGCCTCCTGTCCCCACTGCTCCTTCCCAAACCCGGAGCCCTGGGGGCCCAGCTCAAACCCTCCCAAACCCCAGTGGAGCTCCTGCACCCTTGGGATCATCCCAGAATTCACCCCACCCTGGCCAGGCAGGAGAG